CACAGGCCCCTGACCACAGGTGCAACACCTCCTGTTCTTGCAGATTTGAGGGGATTGTCCAGAAGTTCCTGATTCTACAGTTCAGGTATCCCACATACCCACTCTCGATGGCAGTCTTAGGAAGGCCCCGAGAATAGGTGAGTGGTCTAGAGTTCCTCAAATGGTTCTCTTTTGAAGTCATTGAAAGAATAACTATGACATTGTTCCAGGGCTCCTCACAACAGATGTTGACAATGCATACCTAGAGTATGTGCTCAGCTTAGACTGGAGAATACAGTTGTCAGGGGCTTTATAGTTAGCCTGGTAGCAGCTGCCAAGACCACTTTCCCCATAAATGACCCTGCTGGTAGGCCACACACATCTCAAATCCTAGGGGCACCCATGGTTTGGCTCCCAACAGGAGCCTGAGTGTCCTCAATTTTTGCTCATTGCCAGAACAGCCTGATACTGACTTGGAGAGGTTCCACTCGTGGCCTCTTCCTGACAGCAGGATGTGCTCTATGACACACCAGGGTTGCCACAGGTGCGGTTTAATTGCAATTGTTCTGGCCCCTGATCCCCTGGAGAGCAACAGTCTCAATGTGGGCAGATAGTGCTTTTCGATCTTACCCGAATGGGAGTCGAAGTATGGAATTAATGTGTACAATCTAGTGGCTGGACATGTACAATACATGCCCTGTGGCCCTGAGCATGAAGCCATGGTTGCCACTCAGTCATGGGGGAATATGTAGTACCCTGCGATTACTCTCCCAGGACCCAGACATGGGTGACTGCTGACCCTGTGCATCTGTCCACAATCCACATGGCACCAAGCCGGAAACTGATTATCATGTGCCTCATTCGTGTACAGGACAATGCAACTGGAAGGGAACTGGGGGAGAGGCCTATCATGTATCAACATAAAACACCACCTATTCATTCCTAGAAACTTTTAAATCTATGGACTGGCCCATCTAAAGCGTAAGAAAAAAACCGTTGTCAGTCAGCTGGCAATTCCTAACCAAGTGTCACTTGAGGAATACCTATAGGTCAGAAAGTAGGGGTGGGGTGGGACACTGTAATTTCTCTCCTGTTTTCTGTAAAGGGCTCATGAAACCTTTAGTGGAAATCTGCCCCCACCCCACTTGGCACCCACCTGGGTACAGTGCGAGGCCCTCGGCCCTGTGCACGCATAGTGGGAAGGGTGCTGTGGTTCTGCGAGGAATAAGCCCACACTGTCCTATTTTGGGTCAAACACTTGCACCATGAGGTACCTGGAGCCACCTGACATCACCACACCTTCCCTTTATCCAGCTGGTCAAGTGCTCCTACCAGGACCCATCACGCTAGAAAATGTCCTCATGTTAGGGGTAGGGGATTTGTTTGAAATGTCATATAGAGAAAAAGCCACCCTGTGGGTGTTCAGTTTGTCCCTAACACTTAAGAGATTTTCATGAATGCATCCTTCGCAGCACTCCAAGAGGTCAACACCATGGCAGAAATCTCTCCCAACAGTACTCAAGAACTTGTCAGCACCCAAATCTCTTCACCTTCCCTACTGGACTCAAAAGCTGAATGACCAGGGTTGGGATGCAGAGTACAGCTAGCTACGTACTATCTGTATGTGTAAGAGGTAAGAGGGTGAGGTCCTAGCACTTTAACATGTTTGGTCATACCCATGTCTTGAGAATAAATTGTCTGATTTAAAAAAATAATTTGGGAGTTTGTTCATACTGTTTACTGATACTTTTTCTGCATTGCAGATTCATAGATGGAAATGAAGTTATGTGCTGTAACTAAAAGATTTCCACACTTACTTCAGAAATATTTTTTCAGAAATGGATGCAAAATAATAGCTCTGCCTGATTTCTTATGCTCCAAAAACAAAAAGGCTGTAACTCATGTGGATTTTCTGATGTCAAATGATAAATTAAGTATAACTAAGGCATTCCCACTCACAATGAGTAAATGTTCTTATAAGTGTAAACTCTCTGGTGGACTGTGTTTTCTATAACTGAATGCTTTCTTACACTTTAGTTCCTTGCGGGAAGAGGGATGCAAGGCGACTAAAAAAAAGTGCAGTAAAGATTTTAAAAAAAAAAAAAAGGTTCTTTTCCCAACTTGGAGTTGCTAAAGAAAAGTAAGGCCTGAGTTGTGACAGGTTTTTCCACATCCAGTTCTTTTTATGGCAAAGCCACCTGGAGTCAACCAAGGACGTGGAAGGAGGTGCCACTGGACCCACATTATGAAGGCGGAGCTGAAACAAAAGCAAGATACAAAACGCTGGTACTGGGTTGAACATTTTCAACCAGATCAGCAAAACCTTGAGGTGCTCCCTCACTCTGGAAGGAGCATATTAGTAATGTAAATACTCACCTTGTACCTTCAGATCTAAACAGATAATTTTAATGGCATTCAAGAGGATACTAAAAGAAGTCAAGGAAAACCCACTTCCCTATTTTGAGGCAAACATCAAAGTGGGAAAGGCCTCAAATTGACCAATGGGGAAAAAACAAACGACATTGGGACAAATGAAAGGCTCTGCAACTTGTGGCAAGTAAAAAGACACATGAAAAATATATTCAAGAACAACTGCAAAGGAAAGACTAAAAAAATACAAAAAAATAAGAAAAAACCCCTGGAGTTCCAAAGAGAAACAAAATAAAACTTGGCAGTCATGCCAAAAACCAAACCAAACAAAACCCCAAAAGGAAACTGAAATGTAAAACATTACGTATGAAAACAGGGCTCTAACTACATACACATGAGGAGAGAAGAATCTTTCAGAACACCGGGTGACACTTTGTACCACTGTCGGACAGACCAGGAAAATAATGTCCAGATCTATATTACCAAAATTAACAAAGAGGTAGAAATGTAAAGAGCGCAACCATTGAAGAAATCAAAGTGTGGCTAAAGATTTGTCCCTCCCAACTGCCTACTCTCCAAGAATGTATATGAGCCAGTTACTTTTACCCTTCAAAGAGTAATTCTCACATCATGAAACTCTTTCAAAACATTTTGCAAAGCCAGTAAAATCTGTAAAAGTAATCACCACAAACAAATTTTATACCAAGTGCAAAGAAATTTCAACAATTTGGAAAACTGTCAAAAATCACCAAAATAATAAATTAACATAACCCATAAAATGACACCAATAGATTTCTTTTAAAACTTGACAGAATTTAATAGCCGCCCTAATAAAAACTAAGTATAAAAATAACTACAGAGCCCTGGCTGGTGTAGCTCAGTGGATTGAGCGTGGGCCTGCGAACCACACGATCGCGGTTTGATTCCCAGTCAGGGCACATGCCTGGGTTGCAGGCCGGTTCCCTGCAGGGGATGCACAAAAGGCAACCACACATTGATGTTTCTCTCCCTCTCTCCTTCCCCCCTTCCCCTCTAAAGATAAATAAATAAAATCTTTTTTAAAAAATCTAAAAAAATAAATAAATAAAATAATAACTACAGTGTTTACTATATACCAAGCACTTATTATGAACTAGCTTATGAGGTAGCTTCATTTTTTAAAAAACATTTTAAAAATTTTTATTTATTTCTAGAGAGGAAAAGGGATGGAGAGAAACAGGGAGAGAAACACTGATGTACAAGATACATTGATTAATTGCCTCTTGCACACCCCCACCTGGAGACCTGGCCTAGAACCCAGGCATGTGCCCTGACTGGGAATCGAACCAACAACCTTTTGGTTCATAGGCCAGCACTCAATCCACTGAGCAACACTAGCTACAGTGGTGGCTTTATTTTATACATGGAAGAACGAGGACACAAGGAAGCTGCACGAGAGACTTGCCCAGGATCACACACCTGAGAAACTGATGGATTCAGTATTGAGCCCAGGCACAAAATTCATGTACTTAACTATGATTCTACATTGTTTCTTCTAAAAACAGGAATAGAAGTAAACTACCTACATTCTATAGAATATATATCAAAAACCAACAATGAAGGATCAGTATTGAGATGCCCAGGGGTACACACAGAAGGTATCAGTGAGGTCTTTGTGTATAATATCTTATGAGATGCTACTTCCATCTGTAAAGGCTTCTAGTGTGGTGGGAGAGACAGGTAGGTAGAATGTATCCAATTCAAAGATGGTTCAATTCGAGGAAAGTTTTAAAAAAATTTATTTATCACTAGTATGTGAAAATTATTACCTATATGCTAGAAAAAATGGATACCATACCCAACCTCAAAGAGCCTACAATAGGTTGGTATGAATGTACACACATATGGATTAAGTCGAGGATAATTTAGAAGGCAATTTAACAGTTGCTCATGGTGGCACCAGCTAATGTGAAGCACTGAAGTCAAATGAGTAAGATGAATAAAGAAGGGGCTGAAGAAAAAGTCTTTCACAGATGAGGTGGATCTGGAAGGATCTAGAAATGACATTGATATGGGAGGTTCTGAGGGACAGATTACCAAATGGGAAAAAGAAAAGTTTTTCTGAATAGGGAATACTGGCGATGAGGGTATAGACTAGGTCTAAGTTTAAAAAGTAGGTAAGGAGGGCCACAGCTGAGAGAGTAAAGAATGAATCAGTCTTGGAGAATGACTTTATAAAATAGAGGAGGTGGGCTAGAATAAGGGAGACACAATCTCTGTCCTTCACAGTGTGATGATGGGATGCATAACTAAGACGAGATACATTTCTACACAGTTGAAAGAAAAAGACAGTAACAGAGAGAATGGGAGAAATTAGGGTGGGACAGAAGGGAGGGAGGGAGGGAGGGAGGGAGAGAAGGACGGACGGAAGGGAGGGATAAAACCCTACAAGTGCATAAAATGTATAGTCCATCCGTCCACAATGGTGGGCAGGGGATGCACTGTTCCCCACTCCCCCACCCTCATGACCCAGCACACAGCACTCAGAGGACGGCCCACTTTCACTAGTGGCTCCTGGAGGGGAACAGAGTAAACACCCTTCTTACAAAGAAAGCTTAATTCCAAGTGCCTTGCTCTCAACTCAGGAAGCTGACTGAGCCAGACCTGAGTGCTTCTCTCCAGTGTGAGTTCGCTGGTGGTGGTTAAAAGTGGAACGCTGACTGAAGGCTTTCCCACACTCACCGCATTCATAGGGTTTCTCACCAGTGTGAACTCTCTGGTGCACAATCAGTTGTGAGCTGTCACTAAAGGCTTTCCCACAATCATGGCATTTATAGGGTTTCTCCCCAGTATGAGTTCTCTGATGTACCATCAGACTGGAGCTGTAACTGAAGACCTTCCCACACTCAGTACATTCATAAGGTTTCTCGCCAGTGTGAATTCTCTGGTGTATGATGAGGTGTGAGTTTTGATTGAAGGATTTTCCACACTCATTGCATTTATAGGGCTTTTCACCTGTGTGAAGTCTCTGGTGTCGAATAAGACATTTACTCAGGCTGAATGCCTTACCACACTCATTGCATTCAAAAGGTTTTTCTCCAGTATGAATTCGCTCATGGTCGGCAAGCTGAGAGTTCTGATTGAAGGCTTTCCCACACTCCCTACATTTGTAAGGCTTTTCCCCAGTGTGGAGGCTTTGATGTCGAGTAAGACATTTGTTACGACTGAAGGCCTTGCCACATTCAAAACACTCATAAGGCTTCTCCCCGGTGTGAATTCTCTGATGGTCAATAAGATTTCTATTAGAACAGAAAGCTTTCCCACACTCCTTACACTTGTAGGGTTTCTCCCCAGTGGGAAGCACCTGATGTTGGACAAGACTTTTACTGTGAATGAAGGTCTCCCCACAGTCACTGCATTCATACGGTTTCTCCCCAGTATGGGTTCTCTGGTGGTCAATGAGTTGGGAGCTCTGAGTGAAGGCTTGTCCACATTCCTTACATGTATATGGTTTCTCCCCATCATGGTGTCTCTGGTGTTGAATGAGATGGGAGCTGTGCCTGTAGGTCTTCCCACACCTGCTGCATTCATAGGGCTTTTCCCCTGTGTGGGTTCTGAGGTGAACTATGAGCTGAGAGCTCTGCCTGAAGGTCTTGCCACACTCGTTACACTCATAGGGCTTCTCTCCAGTGTGGATTCTCTGATGGCCAGTGAGGTGTGAGCTCCGATTGAAAGCTCTGCCACATTCATCACACTGATAGACTTTCTGTGACTTCAGAACCCGCTGTTCTGCAGGACTGGAAGGCAGATTCTGATGAGTCCCAAGTTCCTTATAGTCTTCACATCCACCTTTCGTGGATTTGTTCTTATCCTCACAGGTTATTTCCAGGAAGTCACTTTCCAGTCTGCTCCCTTCCTCCTCTGAGGGTCGTGCCTCCAGCTTCCCTACAGCATCTGCACAGGCAATTCCAGCTCCTGGTGCCCCAGGATCCACCCCATAGAGGCCTCCTGGTGTCCCAGCAGATGACCCTGATCTTTTAGACATTTCCTGCCCTGGAGGCAACTCTGACTTCTTCATCTTAGTCTCACCTGATGCCAAAAAAAAGAAGAAAAAAAGCTTTTACTTACTTCTTGTCCTACTGAGAGATCAGAATCATCAGGAGTCCATGTACCTGAAAAAGCCTTCACATTATGGGCAAGGAATGAGGTGATGCATCGAGAACAAGAAAGAAAATGAAAAATGGCTCAAATTTTTGTTCATGGTCAGAAAGACAAAGGGGGAAGAAGGCTGGTGGAGACGGGTAGATAAAAAGCCATTAGGACAGAGATATCTGAGTCAGCAGAGTCACGTGAGTAGGGCAACTGAAAAGCAAGAGACCAGATGTAAAGATTGTCTAAACTTCTTCCAGAAGTCTCTTAGGTGCTATGCATTCTTAGTAAATAATAAATAGTAAGATGTTGTCTATGCATGACACGGTACAGTTCCATGATTCACAAGATGTTAAGGAGAGAGGATGGGGGCAAAATCCTCAAATCAAATATGAGAAAATGCATTGACAAGTGTGAGAGTTTAAAGAAGATTTACATCATGAGGGTATAGTTAGAAAAAAGCGTAAAAAAGGAGTGATTCTGGTTGATAGCTTGTGACAAAATTTGGAGAAGTCATGCATTCAGAAATGCTGGAGGAAAGTACTGAAGGGGAGTGCAAAGGGGGATGTTCTAACCTTGGAGCCCTGTACTGTTAGGAACTGGTGCCGTAATGCTTTAAAAATCGAGATAGGCATCATTAATAATGCAATATAAAATAAAGTGTGACTTTTGTACCTCAATAATCTGGACTCATCAGGAAACTGAACAGTGGAATACATGCTTTTGAATTCTAGAACTTTTAAATACAAAAGTTGGGAGAAGGAAGAGCAATCATGCTTGTAGTTTAACACAAACTCTTTCATGCATTTCAATCATGTCTAAGCCAAGGCTACAAATCATCATGCTACCTTCAATGTACAAGTGATAGATTTCTGAACCCCTGACTCCTGAGCCCACCCCATCCAGAGCAAACTTGTCAGTCACAGACCTGTGCTGACAACTGCACCTTCAAGGAGCTGCCCTGCTCCAGTACTTCCGGAAGGAAAAGGGGAGGCAACCAGGCCTATGCCCAGCAACCCAGCTGATCCCATGATGGACCACCGGTTACTAGATGAGGCCCAGGCGTTACAGCCAAGTGTAGTTAGCTTTTCTGTAGATTAGTCATCCTTCTGCTGTGGCCAGAATCAAAGTTCTTCCCAGAGATGATATTTAACAGCTGAACCACCCTTGGAATCCATCCCTAAGTAAATTCCAAACGGAAGTAGGGCAAAAGAAATACAATTGCAATAAAGAAGAAGCTCAAGGTGAAATGGTGCATGGGGAGAAGCCAAGCCATTAGGAGCCAATTCAACATAGTGTAAAATTCATTTCCGTTTGTTGCTGAGGCTCCCAGGCTCCCCAGGCTCAACAAGGCCCTGCTTCCCAAAGTCGGGTCTAGCCGGTCAGTTTGTACAAGTTTCCCGTCCCTTTAGCCTTATTCTAAGTAATGTAGCTAATTACTTAAAGTCACTTGAGTGGGTCTCTATTCCTTATAAATACAAACTCCAAGTAAACCACCCCAGCTCAATTCACAATGAAGTAAAGAGAATGGCCACGAGTGTTACAGCTGGGTGATGGGTGCAGAGAGGGTCATCATACTGTTCTGCTTTGTCTATGTGGGCGACTCTTCAGAATGAAAAGTCAAAACAGAAGAGAAATAGAGCAAAGACAATGTGAAGGCTGCAGCTGCTAGGTTCCCGGGCACAGACTCATTACCCAGTGAGGCCACGCTGCAGTAAGTTTCCAGCATGCTGTTCTGGTACAGGGCTCTCTGACTTGGTGCCGGGCCTTTCCACTTCTTCCCTGTGCAGTCTGCAGACAGGAGCTCCCACGCTGCAGACCCCTGCAATGACAAGCTTCGATCGCTCAGAGATATTCCCTCCCCCAAAGGGCAGAGGGTCATCAGGGATACCAGGAGCACAGGGTAAGGGCCCTGGTGGGCAAAGGGGTGGAGGAGGCAGAAGCTGGGATGACACATCTAAAAGGACAAGTCCAGGGCAAGAGACAGGCCAGGAACTCAGCAGGCAGCCCCAGCTCCAGAGGAAGCAAGAAGACAGGGAAGCCACAGGACCAGTCTCGCCAGGGGCCAGAGCCCCGCAGACGACCTCTAGCTGTTCCTGGGACACAGACTTGGGAACTCAGCAAAGACACAAAGAACCAAGCTCACCTGGGGCCCGACCATCCGAAGTACAGCTGCTGCTGCTTGGTGTCCTGTGCTCCCCACTTGGGGAGGGGCAGGTGTGGGGGAAGCACATGGAGCTGAGGGAGGAAAGAAATCTCTAAGTGGATGAGCCCTGCCCTTGGCTCCAGTAAGGCTGTACCCCACTGAGTGGGTTCAGGAGGATGCAGGCAGCTCCACACACACAGATGCTCACCCCTTATCCATACAGGCGTTCCCCTGCATGTGCTGTGAATTTTCCATAGAGGGTGCAGTAGAACGTCTCTGGTCAAACTGAAAACTGGCCTTCACTCTCTTTAACCTCCCATAAGGAAGTTACACTCTGACCACTCCCTCTCCACATGTTTCCCTAGCACCTGCCTTGCCCAGCTTCCCTGAGATCTCTGTGCCCTCTCCACCCCAATCCCTGGTTTGTCTCCCTTCTGCTGTGCTCTCATTTGGACACTCCAGGCCTCAGAGCTTCCTGTTCTCCGTCAGAGACCCCCCTGACTCTCACTGCTCTAACGATGCTCTTCAGTTCGCAGTTCTCTCCTAGACCTCTTTCACAAGCTCCTAGCTGCTTGGAAATTTCACTTGGTGTCCTACAACACCTTAAGTTCAGTGGCTCAAATGCATGTTCTTATCAACTTCCTTTCCTGACCTCCCAAGTTCGGTTAATAATTCCAGATATTGGCCAAAACCCTCTAAATCCCCCTCCTGTCCCTTGCCCCATGGATTTTCCCTCATAGAGTCCATCACATCGATCACTTTCCACCCCACTTAAGCTCACTCAGGCACTAATTGCCTCACATCTATTCTATGTCAACCTCCTACTGGCTCTCTGTCACTGGTCTCCCCATTCAATCATAATTCTCACGTGTGAGTGTAATCACCCTGAAATTGTCCTAACACACATCATCCCACATCCCCCACAATCCTCCTGGCCTTAACTCTAAGGCCCTGTACAAATAGTCCCTATGCTCTCCAACACAGTCCTCCTCGACCCCACCTCAGTAGGGTCCAAAAATTAACCACTTAGAGTCTTTGCTTATATTCTCCACTCTGGGGCCCACCACCTTCCTCTGCCCTCTCAATTTCTCCCTGATTTTTCACTGTCCAATCCCACTGCCACCTCCTCCAGGAAGCATCCCTATACATCCCAGCTCCCCATTAACAATGTCCACATTGCTCACTTGTGATGGCATCAGATGCCTGGGGACAGATGTCACTCATGTTTCTTATGAGGTTGTCTCTTCTTACACTCCGCCAACTAGGTAACCAGCTCTTTGAAAGTGGTGACAGTGTACTATGTGTCTTTGTTCCCAATAGTGCCTTTCCCATGACATGTGCTTGACGGAAACTTGCTAAATACATGAATGACTGGAGAATAAGCAAAAGGGAACAGACAGAGTCACTGGGAAAGGAAGGCAGAGGGTAGGGCAATGAAAGATCCCAACAGGGTGGGAGATGGGGAGATGAGGGAAGGCAGGCTCCAGAGAGAAGAGAAGGGTGACCAGAGGCCAGAGTGGAAGAGGTGAGTACCAGAGTGCCCACTGGGGGGTTGGCGTGCCTCTGGGTCATGAAGAGGCTCCAGGTGGCCTCCAGCAGCTGAACCATCACTGACGGGGGAGGTAGGAGGAGATTCCTCTGTTGCACTCAAGCCTGTCAGCTCCTCCAAATGCATTTCCTGTTCCTGTGCTGGAGCTGAAACCTAGAGACAAGGAAATACAACTGGGTTCAAAAGAGCACCCTTGTAGGTGCAGCATCCAAAACCTCTAAGAAGCAACCCAAGAAAGAAAGCTAGGGACAAGCCGAGCCAGAGTATCCTTTGGGCTACACCAGTACAGCCTAACTAGGGGGAGAAACTGTCCAAGCAGGATCTACAGCTCGTAATCCTACTTGCATCCCTCTGTTGACCTTCCTGTTAGAAGCCTGAAGACCAGACTATATAACCACTTCCCCTCTGTGCCAGTTCTTCAGACACAGATTTGCTTTAAGAATCACCTAGAAAAAGGAGCCAGGATAGCAAACACTCCCTACTTCTGGGCCTAACGAACGGACCAACTGGAAGTACCCAGGGAACAGAAAATGAGAGGCACAAGTACCTGCACATGCACAAATACTGCTGCTGAGACAGATGGCTGGAGCAACACCCCAGAACGGTGGCCGACAGACCTCAAAAGAGGTTTCCCAAACCTCTCAGCAAAGTGTTTCCTCTTCAGAGAAACCACCTGACCTCACTGACAAAGCAAGGACAGTCGCCCTCTCAGTCATAGTATGTGTTCATCTCTGTATTATCTCACTTACACCTTTACTGCCTGTCTCCCCAATGAAAAACAACAGCTTTTGGTCCTGACCACCAGCTCTTAGGACAATGCCAGGCCTCCACTGGTGCTCGATCAATAATATTGCTGACTGACTTCCTCTCAGTATTTTGCTGTGAGTTTTTAGGTTATCTGCAAACTCAGTTTTCAATATGCACTACTGCACTTCAATAATTTGTATAAGTCGAATAAGATCAGATAACACTAATCTTTAGAGACCTTGAGAACATCTCAAAGCACAGACCTTTTATTTCTAACCGCTGCTTGCTGTTCTCAGAGCAGCTCCTTGCACTCTCACGGTTCCTATTGTGACCAGCAGTTAGAACAGAAAGCCGAAAACACTAACCTACATAAATCTCCTCTACCAGCTCCCTCGTGCTGGCACGTGCTCACTGCAGCAGGAGGATGACTGCTCCCTCAGTCAGCCTTGCAGGATCTGTACCGCTGTGAGGTGAGGGGACACCTGCTCCTGTGGCCCATTTGTACAGAGCAGTGGTGGGAGCAGGAGGCTACCCGGGTCTGGGCTTCCCGGGCTCTCCACTGGATGGTCTTCTAAGTGGGAGTTGCAGCTCTTAAATACAGCAGCCATGGGGACTGGCAGAAGGTGGAATTTAACTGCACTCTGACAGCACAGCCTCGTAATTCACCAGCCATTAAATCCTGGCACCACTCCTGTTCTTTAGCTGGGACTCACAAGTTTCCTTTACAAAACCCCCATTCCAATTTTCAGTCTAAGATGGCGTTCCGCAGGACACTAGGGGACAGCTGGGGGCCTAGAACCCAGGGAGAGGAAAAATCCTGGCTCCCACCATTGGTGGGAATCAGTAATGTCAGCAATAACCACACTGGCCCAGTCTCAGGGACAAAAGGTCTGTTTCCTAGCTCTGTCATTTTAGATGAGTCACTTAACCTTTCTGTGCTTTATCACCTGTCAAATCTGGTTACTATCTGCCTATTTTATAAACCTGCTAGGAGCTGAAATAAAAGAATATAAAAGCATTTGCAAGCTGTGTGCTGCTGCAGCCCTCTGCAGCCCCAGTGTGTGTGCACACACACTCCCTTCTGCTGGCAGGCTGACTCTGATTTGCCCTGGTAGTGCTCAATCTCCCCTTGGCAAACTGCCATGCAAAAGCTGGCTCATCCCTTTAGCCATAAATATGCTGCAAGCCCTCGCTAGGAGACACAGCTCAGCTCTCATGTCTTCGTGTCAGAAACATGAAGCTGACAATAGTGGCACAGTGATAAGGGTGGTCCAAACACCCTACTCCTAGGCTGGAGCCAGGGGAGCTTGACTGCCAACTGACGACTGTCAGTAACTCTCTTGGGTTTGTGACTCAGTCATTTTTTTCTGAGCTCCCTGGATAAAAAAAGACTGAGTTTTAGTGGAGGGAGCAAACTCTTATGCATAAAGCAAACGAAGATAGAAAACGGGAAAGTTTTCATCTCCTCACCAAATGGCACTGTTCTTCAGCCCCTTGTCTTCGCCCATGGTTGGGGTCTACTTGTTCCCTAGACCCCGGAGATGGCTGATTTATTTCTGTGTTTACTTGTTTACACAAGGGAATAATGGTTGACATTGGATTTGATTAAGCCAGATGGACAGGAGCTGGTACTCCTAGAAAAAGGTCTAGCCCTAGGACTCTGATCAACTGGTGTTGATTCTCTAGGCATAGATATGTAATTGTTTTTTAAAAAAAGATTTTATTTATTCATTTCTAGAGAGAGAGGAAGGGAGAAAAACATCGGTGTGTGAGAGTAACATCGATCGATTGCCCCTTGAATGCCCCTACTGGGGACCTGGCCCACCACCCAGCAGGTGCCCTGACTGGGAATCAAACAGGCAACCTTTCAGTTCTCAGGCCAGCACCCAACCCACTGAGCCACACCTACCAGAGAGATAAGCAGTTTTTTTTAAAAGCACTGAATAAAATTATGTGATGGGTACTCAGGAAGTTTCATATACTGGTTTTTTTTTAATAAACTGCGAAGGAGTAAACACAGAGGTGACCCTAATTCACCCTGGTTAGGGACATGGGAGCAATCTGGGCCTTGTCGGGAGGAACTGACTCACCTGTGGTCTTTTGCTGTGCCAGTTTAGCACTAACCTAGGTGCTGCTGTGAAGGTATTTTGTACATGTGTTTAAAGTCCATGACCAATTTACCTTAGTATTGTAGACAATCTGGAAGGGCCTGATTCAACCAGGGCTAAGACCTAACATTCAGGGCTGATGGTTCCAATGAAGAGAAATTCTGCCCGTGGACAGCAGCTTCGGCCTGTGCCCGAGAGTCTCAGCCGGTCCTTCCAGTCGGCCTGCCCTACAGATTCCAGACTTGCCTCGCCAGTTCCCAAAATCACACAAGCCACTTTCCAGCAATAACATCAATACAAATATTTATATATACGTAAAATTTCCTACTGGTTTTTCTTCTTTGGCTGAACTCTGATGACACACATGGTCACTGTGCCACCTAGCTCTGTGGCCCTAGGGGACAGATTTCTCTCTGTTATCACTCTTTTGACTCTCCAGCTTTTCCTCTAATTTGAATTATCTTGGCTTTAAATTTGAGAGAACCCAGGGAAATAGGAAAAATTGAAAGTCAATAGGCAAAAGGACCCCAGCTGGGTTTGGAAAGCAAAAAAAGGAACAAATGATTACGAGGCCCAGAAATGTCACCTCTCACAAGGCGAGGCACCTCTCACAGCACCAGGCAAGGAGAGAGAGCTGACTCTGAGAAGTCTGAGGAAGGGAGTCAGGAGAACTTCTCAAATGAGGGCTCGCATCACCAGTGCTCCAAGCTTGACCTCTCCCCGTATGTTCCCGCATCCTAACCAACGTGCAGATCCTCTCCCTGCCCAGAGTGCTGTGTGTATCTTCAAAGTGAAGCTGGGCTCATGAACCCCTATTCACAAAGAGATTCACAGCGTGGATGCAATTCACATTTTGTTTATCGCTTAGACACAAAACGATTTCCCTTCTATCCATGAGGGGCTCTGGAATCCTAAGGGCAAACCGGCCTAGGGACTAAGGAATGGAGAATGCCTACTCCCAGGCTATCCTAAACACTAGAAAATGGTTCTAGATGCCATTCTAGACTCAGCTGCTCACCTCTCCCAGTCCACTGAGATGTCTCTGGAAATCCTCCACCACAGCCACGGCTTCCTCACCACTCTCAGGGTGATGCAGCTGCACCCAGGTCCGAATCTCCCCCGGCAGGATGCTCAGGAACTGCTCCAGCACCAGCAGCTCCAGGATCTGCTCCTTGGTGCGTACCTCTGGCATCAGCCACCAGTGGCAGAGCTCCCGCAGCCGGCTCAGCGCCTCCTGTGGCCCAGACATCTCATGGTAACATAACTGCCTGAAGTGTAGCCGGAAAATTTCACACATGGGAGGGTGGTTCCTTTGGAGACTGCAGCCCTGCCTCCAAGTCTGGCTTCCTGGCTCCTGCTTTACAGTCAGGCGCCCCTCCTGCTTCTGGAGAACAGCACCCCTGGAGATAAGACCTAAAGCTCCCCTGCCTTGGGTGGCCATTATAACCCCAAAGAGAAGCTTGTTCAAGCAGCAGTTTGTCCAGTTAAAACGATGGTCTGTAATTCAGGTCTCAGGAGCTGTTTTCCAGAGTTGAGGTGGGGTGATGGAAGTGTCACCTACAGAAACATTGAGAGAGAAATCAGAGTCCCCAGAGTATTCAGTAGTGGGCTGATGACAAATCCTCCACATTTAAAAAGCAAAGCTCCAGAAGAGAGAGAGAACAACCAGGGCAGTCTCTCTAAGTATCTCTCCAAGTAATTTCCCTTCTTAAACTTTCAGTGGCTCCCATAAGCTACAGGGTAAAACCAAAATATCTATGCGTAGCATTCATAGCCCTTCACAACCTAGTCTTAGGCCCCTGTTCTAGACACATCCCCTACTACTTAGTCCTCAGGAACCCGGGCTAGAAAGATAGCAATGAACTCCAGATATGGGAAATACAAGATGATCCAAAGGGTGCATAAAAAATATTGAGTAGTTATTTAACTCCTATTTAGTGCATCTCTTTCTCTTTATCTTCACCTGAGGATATGTTTCATTGATTTGAGAGAAGAAGAAACATGGATTGATTGCCTACTGTATCAACCCCAACTGGGGTTCAAACCCGCAACTTCTTGGTGTAGGGGACGACACTCCAACCAACTGAACTACCCAGCCAGGCAGCATGTTTTATAATGTGCATTAAATTTGTAAAATAGCACGTATCTTTAATTTACAAACAAACCTATGTTGGAAGTAGGAACATGCTCAACACTCTTCCCCCTCCTCTGTTGAGATACAAAGGCACAATAAAGTAAGTCTGGGACTAACGCTCTAGAGAGCTCTCTAATACTCTTGCCCTGGATTTTTCTTCTTCCTTCCAGCTTTTGACAAACTCCTACTCATCAGTCAAGACCCCAATGCCATTTGCTCTAGAAGGCCTCCCTGACTACCCCACGTGGAGAGAGAGCTGGCAGCCTCCTTCCCTCACCCTCTCACCATAACACTGTATGTTAACTGGTGTACATGCAACTTGACACTCACACCCTCCAAGCCCACTAGCTGGCCACCAAAGGAAAGGAACCCTATGGAGTTAGAAAATGCTGGACCTTTTTCTCCTCAACCTTCCCCAGAAAACCTTCCTGATGTTTCCAGGCTTTTAAGCATGGCTCTGCCTCACGGAGGGCACATCGCCTTTTTCATTCAAACTTGTGTTTGGGGTTTACTCGGCTGTCCCTCCCATTTCTCGGAGGACTCAGAGGGCTGGGCTGGTTCCCAGTCTTCTCCAGCCGCGTGTGTACTGACACACGGAACGCCTGTTCGGTAAACGAATGAATGTGGTTCACTTAGCTGACACTGAAGGAGGGGGCGACTTTTATTCAGTTTATGCATTTCAAAACTTTGGAAACCAGCTCTTTACTGATAACCAGGGCATGTGCGCTCTGCTTCCAATTTACCATGCACCTCGGTAACCTGGGGATGCTACTTCTCACTAGGCCTCAATTTCTTTAAAAAAACAAAGACAGACTTAAATGTAACCTGTGAACTCTTAGATCTCACCATACATGTCTAACGTTCTGGCCCTTTTCCTACTTCCTTCACTGTTCCAAATGCTCAACAGCTTATCTCATCTGGATTTTAAGGGTCCAAGTCACTCTGTTTGAATTTCCGACAGCGTCCGACCCACTTCAGACGCTCCGTATTGTGTCCCTGGGCAAAGCCGGGAAAACACCTCTCTGCGCTTCGCGTTCGACTAGGCTCACCTGATCACGGCTGCCCTGTTCATTGCTGTACCCGCAGGGGCCCGGGTCCATGCCGGGCACAGCTGGTCAGGGCAGTGCGTCAAAGAGGCTGTACATCTTGCCGCTTCTGAGCGCCACAGGGACGGCGCCGCCAGCCTCCGGCGCAAAGCGTGGACCCGGCCAGCGTCACCGACTGGGGCTGGTGGCTCCAGCCCCAGGACCCCGGCCCAGGCAGCACCTCCCTCCCAGTCCCTGAACTGCTCACTGGGGAACCGTTGTAGGACTCCGCGGAACAGAGTTGCGGTGCGGAGAAGCAGAAAAACAATGGCCGGCCCGGAAGTGAGAGGGCCTCCACTTCCGGATGCTCCAGGAACCCGGAAGTCACGGCGTTGAAGGTGGGCTCACCGGGACTATTCATTCCCGGGCCAATCACGCCACTGGGAGGGAAGCAGGGAGCGGATGCGATTGAAACTTCAGGGTGTATTTCTCAGAACCATTAAAGGTCTGGGCAACTGGAGTCTCTCTAGCTCTACCCTATCCCCTCTTGGTGGCCTTGGGAAAGATATCCAAACATCTGAAAAATGCAGAGCATAGCGTGTGCCTCTTGGGGCTGTGAGCAATGAAATGGGTAACGAGATTAAGTTTTTTTATTCTCAGAGCTTTTGCATGCTCAAGTGGTTGGCTTCATTTCTGTAAGGGCCAGTGTTTAGACTTTATAGGTACCACCATGGCCACCACTGTGCGTCTGATCTACCATGACTAGGTTAGGTCCCAGTGGGGAAAACATGCATTTTGGGACCTTGGGACACCTGCACCTTGGGACACCTGCATTTGAGCCAAAGACAATCCCAGAAGGCTTGAGGTCATGAACACTACCCTGGCCTCTCTTGGACACTATCACATTAGCCTTGGTATAGAGCTAACAACAGGTAACCCAAATGCTACATGCCTAACGCAAAACTCTCATCTATTCTCGATTCTGAAGCTCAACACATGTTCCCATCTCTGTAAAAGGCACTGTCATTCATCCGGAGGCTCAAACTAGAACTCTGGATGCCTTACCTTTTCTGGGTGTCCCTGGGCAAGTTAAGCCTTTGTAGTGCAGTGTCCTCACCTGTAAAATAAAGATAATAACAGTACCTAAATAATAGAATTGATATGAGGACTGAATGAGATAATTTATTATATATATATATAATTACTTAAAATGGTGTCTGGCACATGGTAGGAATTATAGGTGTTCTTTAGTATTATGTTTCCTCCCATTTCTTCATTCCCTGTATCCAGATCATTGCCAAGGTCAGCCAAACCTTTTCACTATTTGTATGTAATAATAACAACAACAACAGAAAATACTTAACACCACTTACTATGCTGCTCTGCACCCTGTATTAAGTCCAGCCTAAGGTGAGAGCGCCTGTCAGAAGGGTGTTCTCAGGGGCCTTTCGGATTTACGAAGACCACAAAGAGAGGAGCACAGCCAGGGCTAGAGATTTTCTGCCCCCAAACTGTTTAGACCTCTAGGTATCAACTGTGTGGACTGTCCCCTTTTCAGAAGCCATGACTCCCTTACCCTAAAAAGAAGGTGGGGCCCTAGAACCCACCCCAGCCTCTTCTCTGTAATGTAGGCAGGAATCCCCAGCTACTGCGCTTGGATAGTGGATGGGGCCCAAGCCCTAGCTACATAGGAGACTCTCCTATCACCTTGAAAACTACTTGGCTTTCAAGACATAGCTGAGAAACCCCCTTTTCCAGGAACTCTTCCATGTACTGTATTTCCCCACCTGGATTAGATGTCCTTTCCTTTGTGCTCCTGTGGTGGCCTGGCACGTGCTTGTCATGGCCCTTATTTGTCACACTGCATTAACACCAAAGACTTGTCAACCTCCGCTGGCCCTCCCAGTTTCCTAGAGAGGCCACCAAGGCCCAGAGCAGTGACTTGCGTGCACAACTGGCTTGGCAGAGATACCTGCCCAGGGTGTGTGGGCAGCAGGAGGGCCTTGAGGAGGCAGCGCCGGAGTCGCTGAGTGGACGGGCTGGGTGTGGGGCGCGCCTGGGACCGCTGTGACACGTGGGTGCGGGTGGAGGGGGTGGGGGTGGGGGGGTGAGTGTAAGAAAAGTAAAAGTAGCTGCAATCTGCTGTTTTCTTTGGGAGGCTTTCTGCTATTTTTAACATTTATGCTATAATTATGTAAACTCATATACATGTATATGCATATTTATATGACATGGAATAATATTGTTGATATTTCTTTTTTCCTTTTGATGGGGGGCTGTGGGATGAAAGTACTTGTTCTTCAGGAATTCTGTGAGTGTACAGAGGGACCAATCGGTGGATAGCACATCTTTAACCTTTTGTAAATTAAAGTCTTCGAATATAAAGTCTTTGAAAATAGCCTATTTTAATTGCGCACACTTTTTGCTCACTTTTAATGGTTGTTCTGCGTATTGCTGAATTTTGCCAATATTGCACCTCCAGTGCTCGCTGACTGTAAGATAGTTTAACTCAACACCCTTTCCTAAAATGGATCTCCTGGTCATGGACCAGGGCTCTCCACCTTTACGAGAAGTGAGGGCAAAGGCAGGAGAGCAAAGAAAGGTGCCAGTGGAGGAAGATTCTGGGTGAAAGTGGCTGCAGCTTCCTGCCTTTGATCGGGAGAAGGGCAATGAACGTGAGAGACACATCCAGGCTCAACTTTGTTCTGGACCGATTTTCAAGGCCCAACCTTCAGTACCCTTGACGGTCAGGTAGGCAATGGGGAGAGGGAAAGTGAGGAGGATGGCAAACAGCAGCCCACAGAGAATTGAGAGGATCTAGACCCGCTACCTGGCCCGCCTGCACCTGTGGGGAAGATGCCATTGTGTTGATCAGGCAGGACTGGAGACCTGTCCCCCTCCAGTGGGAGCTGAGTGCTTTCTAGGCTCCATTCGCCCGGCCAGAAAACTGCCTGCAGGTCTCGGACTGCTTGGTTGCATCCCTCTTTCTCGTGGACTTCACCTTCACCCCACCTGTCCCCTCCAGTAAAGGCAGATACCACCTGTGAGCAAAGGGACAGGGCAGCTGAGGTCACGCAGTAGAGAGGACCGCCTTGCGCTCTCCACAAATGACACAGTGGCAAAGACAGACCTGGGGAGGTCTAGCATCTGCATATTGGTGCTTTTTAAACATGTAATCCATGTATTTTACTTTCTAATTATTTAATTTCTTATTGAGGGAAATCAACATATAACATTAAGTTTCAGGTCTTTTACAACATAATTTGATATCTATATATTATTGCTTTTAAAAAGCTTTTGGGGGACTTCCGCCCAAGATGGAGGCATAGGTAGACGTGCTGTGCCTCCTGGCACAACCAAAAGAAGGACAACAAAAATTTAAAAACAAAAAACAACCAGAACTGACAGAAATTTGAACTATATGGAAGCTTGACAACCAAGCAATTAAAGAAGAAATATTCATTCAGACCGGTAGGAGGAGCAGAGTTGGGCAGCCAGATGGGAGAGGACTCGCTGCAACGTGTTAGCTGGAGGACCAGGGTGGGCAAGGCAGCGGCTAATGGACTTGGGGAGGCAGCGGATTGTGGAGGGGCATGTCGAGGAAGGTGACAGCTGGTGGACCGGGCGGTCCCACACTCGCTTGCAGATAAGCCAGGTGAAATTGGGGAGCGAGACACACCATGCAACCCAGGGTCCCAGCGCAGGGAAATAAGGCCTCAAACACTGATTGGAAACACCTGTGGGGGTTGAGGTGCCAGGAAAGACTCCCAGCTTCAGAGGAGTTTGTTGGAGAGACCCACAGGGTCCTAGAACGTACACAAGCCCACCCACCTGGGAACCAGCACCAGAAGGGCCCAGTTTCTGGGGGAAGCGGGCGGAGGGGACTGAAATATGACAGAGAGTGGACAGAGAGAGGAGCAAATGCCATTGTTCCCTCTCGGACCCCACCCCCACATATAGAGTAACAACCCTTCGATGTGGGTTGCCCCGCCCTAGTGAACACCTAAGGCTCCGCCCCTCATATGTAACAGGCTCGACCTGACCAAAAAATTATGACTGAAACAGAAGAACAAATCAAAGCCCCAGGGCCAATACTTCTAAGGGACAAAGAGATAGCCAACCTATCAGATGCACAGTTCAAAACACTGGTGATCAGAATGCTCACAGAATGATTGAATTTGGTCGCAAATTAGATGAAAAAAATGAAGGCTACGCTAAGCAAAATAAAGGAAAATGTACAAGAAACCAATAGTGATGGCAAGGAAACTGGGATTCAAATCAGCGGTGTGGACCAAAAGGAAGAAACATCCAATCAGAAAAGAGTGAAGAAACAAGAATTCAAAAAACAAAAAACAAAACAAAAAACGAGGAAAGGCTTAGGAACCTCCGGAACATCTTTAAATATTCCAACATCCGAATTATAGGGGTACCAGAAGGGGAAGAGGAACAGCCACGAGTGGAAAACTTTTTTGAACAAATAATAAAGGAGAACTTCCCCAATCTGGCAAAGGAAATAGAGTTCCAGGAAATCCAGGAAGCTCAGAGAGTCCCAAAGAAGGTGGACCCAAGGAGGAACACACCAAGGCACATCATAATTACATTAACCAAGATTAAAATGAAGGCCCTGGCTGGTGTAGCTCAGTGGCTTGAGCTCGGGCCTGCAAACCAAACAACTGCGGTTTGATTCCCAGTCAGGGCACATGCCTGGGTTGCAGGCCACTTCCCAGCAGGGGACGCACGAGAGGCAAACATACATTGATATTTCTCTCCCTCTCTCCTTCCCTTCCCCTCTAAAGACAAAATAAATAAAATATTTTTTAAAAATATAAAAATGAAGGAGAGAATCCTAAAAGCAGCAAGAGATAAGGAGACAGTCACCTACAAAGGAGTTCCCATCAGACTGTAAGCTGATTTCTTAAAAAAAGATCTTACAGGCAAGAAAGGAGTGGAAAGAAGTATTCCAAGTTGCCATGTCCTCTTCCAATGATGTTATCTGACATGGTCTGGGCATGGAGGATTCAAGTTCAAGGAATTTGTCTCCCTGGAAGAGAACGTGGCATCCAAAATGGGTTAACAATTGGCTATTTTATTTTAATTATTTTACTCTTGCTACTGAATATAGACATTGTACTGTACTTACTTATTCCTGTGAAAATCACCCAAGAGGAGGGAACAGTTCAGGGGAAAACATTAGTATTCCCCAGGAAACTGCCTGAAAGGTTGGAAAAATCTCCAGATTCCCCTCTCCCTTATAGAGGGGAGTATAACAGCCAGGGTAATATAATTGTTAACCATAAGAGAAAACATGTCAAATTGTATAAATTACCCTGGTTTGAGCAACTTAAAACGATCAGGACTGCCATAGTGTACCAGAAATAAGAAAAACAAGTTACATGTTTGTTTGGGTAATCAAAAGGTGGTGGGATTGTTAGACACCTGTATTTCAGGTTCATTGATTCACATAATTCCTATTAAGTTGTACAAAATAATTTCTTGACCAGAGAACAAAGTTCCGTCTAATGAAATAGTCCCTGAATGTTTAAAAGGTGGAGTAACAGCCCCTCCTTTACCTTGAATAAGAATATATATCAGACAGGCAAAGAAATAACAAAACCTGGCTAGTTATTACAAACTAAACACGTAGAAACAGTTACTCAAGAGTCAGAGTTTATAGTACACAGAGAAACATTTTAGACAGAAAAGGACAGATAGCTAAGTTAGACATCACAAAAGCCTTATAAT